GAAAGAAAGAAAGAAAGAAAGAAAGAAAGAAAGAAAGAAAGAAAGAATATGGGAGGGGAGAAGAAAGGGAGGGAGGGGGAAGTAAGGGAGGAAAAGAGACAGAATGAAAGAAAGAAAGAGAGAAAGTATAGAAGGAAGGAAGGAAAAGAAAGGGAGAGAAAGATAGGAAGGGGTGATCTTCAAATATAACTTGGACCAATTGGGTATTCTTTTCAAAGACCTCATATTCGCTGGAGGGTGAGGGAGGACAGCACTGACTGGATCACTGCCAGATTTTTGTCACACACTTTCCAAACAAAGACACGTAGGGAGGTGAGAATCACTGCCGATTCCTTCCTTCTTCCTTCTTCTCTTTAGCCGAAGGAGCTGCTATCTTTTTTTTGCCCCCACCCCCAAGGAGGCTTCCCTGAGGCCCAGGAGCACCAAAAAACGGAGCACGGGGGAGAAGGTGCTGCACACAAAAAAAGAAGCCACACCCACCCAGTCACAGGGCCACACCCACCTAACCACGCTCACCTAGCCACGCCCACAGAACCGCTTGTAAAAATATTTGTATCCCACCCCTGGATGGAACAGCTTTTGCCTTCAGAAGTTGTGGGAGCTTCGTCACTTGGAAGCTTTCAAAAAGAGACTGGACTGCCATCTGTCAGAAATGATGTAGGGTCTCCTGGGGGTTGGACTAGATGGCCTACAAGGTCCCTTCCAACTCTGTTAATCTGTAAGCTCAGGGGTTGAGCTTGCTTGTTGTCTTGCAGATGTTCTATTTGCCCAAGCTAGATAACATCATGGGTGCGTGTCTGTAACCTCACACCTGCTCCGGCTTGTTTGAAATGGCGGCTACCAAGGCAGTATTTTCTCTTGGAATTGCTTAAACTGTCTGGCATTGCAAACCTGGAGTGGGGCCGATCCATTTTCCCCTGGAAGGAAATCTGGCCTCATCCTGCCTTGCAATGTTGGTGCTGCAGCCAGCCACAAACCTTTCCCTCTGTGCCATAAAAATACATGCCATCTTTCTCACTGCCTTTAGAGGTTACTTCACCTAATCCAGCTGTCATAGCAACATAAACCCTGTTTAGAAAATCACTTTTTGCTGACGTTTCCATTGCATAACTCAATTCTTATAATTTGATTTTATAACTCCTTTCACTGCCTCCCCTGATGGGGAAGTTGCGTTGTTGTTGTTTTTTGTAGACATCTTGCAACACCCCAGTCTCAAAAGTCTCAAAAATGAATATTGTGAAAGGCAGACCGAATGTGTTGGGACCAGCAACTCAGTCGTAAAATGAAGCAGTCGCGAAAAGAAGCATTGCACACTTTGATGATCTTAGCATCCGTTTTTCCTGCGCTTTACAGACCTGCAAAGGCCGCAATGTGAATGAGAACCGGTTGGAAACGGGTGTTTTCATCGCCATCTTTACCACGGTTGCTAAACGAGGATTACTTGGATTTCCATTTTGAGTAGAGCAGGGAGGGGAGATCTTGCTACTTCGTGAGCAGCGGCAAAAGGAGGGGAAAAGAGATTGAAATGGGGTTTTGGCTTTAGAAGGGAAATTTCAACCTGAAGTTACTTCACAAACATGAATGTCCTTCTCAAGACTAGATTTCTAATGAGTCTAACCTCTAGGGGAGGTCTGAAATGGAAAGACCCAGGTTTCCTCCCCTCTCTTGGACTAGAATGCTAATTTTTCTCTTATTGCATCATATATATATATACATACATTTTTTCTCCCGCAGTGAAGCTAGGACTTCATGTAACAGAAGTAATGTGAGAAATCCCAGATGTTAAAATGATGGTTTAAAAAAAAAATCAGTCTGGTTTCAATTATATTTTAACCAATTAGGCTTTGCTGCCTTGAAGGAAAGGAATCAGTCCATAGATCTCTTTCAAAGTGTGGAAAGGAAACTTCACGAGGACAGTGGTGTCACCCAAGCAGGAAAAGCCCAAAGGGAACATCAAGCCAGCCATAAAACAAACTTGCATAGGAAAAGGAATCAAATAAAAGGTATTAAAGAAGCCCCTTAGACAAAAGTCCAAATAATTAAGAAAACTAGGGAAACAAGAAAAGAAAACCCTTCCAAATCAGCAAAACAAACAAAAGACACAAAATATATTGCAAAGGAGACAGACAGGAGATTGCCACAAAACAAATATAAGAAAACATTAGGACGAAACTGATAATCCAATCAAACCACCCCACGGAGTTTACCCTCTGGCGGAAATGAAGACAACCCCTGACAGGATTTAAAACATTAAGAAATACAAACACAAGCACTCACACATGAAAGGAGAAAAAAAGTATAACAATCAGGGGCTTATTATACAAAGCTAGCTAGCCCCAGGAACGCAGACTTCTTGCTATCTCTCGCCTTCCTGAAAAATAAAAAGAACCAGCTTTCAAGCAGTTGTCTGTATCCTTGCACCGGAGCTCTCCCAGCAGGAAAATCGAATCCTCAGAAGAAAGGCATTTTGTCAGCCTTTCAACAAAAGAATTCAGAAGGTTGGTCGGTGGATTCTTGTGGGTGGGAAGAGAGATCTGAAAACATTTTGTGGGGAGAGGGAAAAGAAAATCAAGATGGCAATCAAGGTTGCATGACCAATCCTGTCTCCTTGCTTATTTAAATTGCATGTACAATGCAGACCACAGGGCTGGGGCTATAAATATGCAATTTTGTTGCCCATCTTGAATGGTTTGGACTTTCCTGCAGTCTGGAGTCCGGAGCAGTTATATCTTTTCCAATGGTTCTGAATATGGGTGACACTTTTAGTATTTTCTTTTGCTGATGTAGAATAGCAATAGCAATAGTACTTAGACTTATATACCAATTTATAGTGCTTTACAGCCCTCTCTAAGCGGTTTACAGAGTCAGCATCTTGCCCCCAACAATTTGGGTCCTCATTTTACCCACCTTGGAAGGATGGAAGGCTGAGTCCACCTTGAGCCTGGTGGGATTTCAACTGCCAAATGGCCACTGCCTGCCTTGTCTGGGAACTGAAAAAAGATGGAATTTTATGCACTTTGATCCATCCTGGCTAGGTGAAAACTGATGAGGGAACTGTGCACGTACAGTGAAGTCACCATTCAGAAATAGTTGCAGGAGAGAAATAATCATCTACCATGCAGTTAAGGATGTTGCAGCATGTCAAAAACTCAGGGATTATCGCTGAAGGGCCAATTAAGATTGGGAAAATCAACCAGGCTGAGATAAAATAACCAATCACAATAGGTGGAGGCTCAATTTGTAGGCTCTACACCAGAGGTGGGTATTCAGCAGGTTCTGACCAGTTCTGGAGAACGCGTAGCAGAAATTTTGAGTAGTTCAGAGAACTGGCAAATACCACCTCTGACTGGAGATTTTACAGTATCCTTCTCCTGCCACACCCACCAAGGCACGCCCACAGAACCGGTAGTAAAAAAATTTGAATCCCACCACTGCCCTACCACTATATAAAATATTTCTACTTGCAGAAACAAACTTGCATAACCTGGAGAAAGTTTCTGTCTTCAGAACCATGAAAGGTTACTCATCCTGATTTAGAAATATAGAATAACAGAGTTGGAAGGGACCTTGGTGGTCCGCTAGTCCAACCCCCTGCTCAGGTAGGAAACCCTACAAGATTTCAGACAAATGGTTGTCCAACCTCTTCTTAAACATTTCAAGTGATGGAGAATTCATAACTTCTGGAGGCAAGTTGTCCCACTGGTTAATTGTTCTAACTTATCAGGAAATTTCTCCTGAGTTCTAAGTTCCTTCTCTCCTTGATTAGTTTCCACCCATTGCTTTCTTGTCTTGCCTTCAAGATGCTTTGGAGAATAGCTTGACTCCTTCTTCTTCGTGGCAACTCCTGAGATATTGCAACACTGCTACCATATCACCCCTACTCCTTCTTTTCATCAGACTAGACGCACCCAGTTCCAGCAACCGTTCTTCATATGTTTTACCCTCCATTCCCCCTAATCATCTTTGTTGCTCTTCTCTGCACTTTTTCTAGAGTCTCAACAATCTTTTTTTTACATTGTGGCGACCAAAACTGACATTGTGGTGATCAAAAACGTACCTTCTGGATTCGTATAGTTGGATATTCCCTCAACTGCTTCTAAACTTGTTTTGGGGCTGAGGCCTGAAATAAGCAGGTAACATTGCAGATGAGGAGTCTGTCCGTCTTCTTGTGAATCCTCAGCTGTACATTTGTCCAATGAGGGACAAATCATATCAACTGGAAAAGGAATCCAGCTTCTAGATGAATTCAAGCTTCCCAATGCTTTGTGTGTGTTAATGTTAAACATTTACTGTTTCAGACTAGTCCTTAGAGGTTTACATTTGGCTGTAATGAAGGTGTGAGTCATTTTTTTAAAAATAAAATAAAAATAAAGCCAGCTCCCTCCTTCTTCTCCCACACCCACTTCTCTCGCACAAACACATATATCAGGAGCTCCTCAAAATGGTGTCCTTTCTGGATGGTAAACCTCTGTCCCGTTTTTTTCTTCTCAAAGGCATCCTTGACCATTAATAAGAGTATGCACGGTATTCTTAAAGTGTTGGCTGGTTTATCATCATCATCATCTATGTCAGGGGTGCCAAACTCACGGCTCAGGGGCCAGTGGTGGGATTCAAAAAAAAAACAAAAAAACTACCAGTTCTGTGGGCATGGCTTGGTGGGTATGGCGTGGCTTGGTTGGCGTGGCAGGGGAAGGATACTGCAAAATCCCCATTCCCTCCCCACCCCACTAACCTGCTTTCCAGCTCCGTTCTCCTGTGCAGGGCAACAACAAAAAAAGATCCAGCCAATCAGCTGGGACTCAGGAGGCAGAGAATATATGGGGGCGGGGCCAGTCAGAGGCGGTATTTGCTGGTTCTCCAAACAACTCAAAATTTCCACTACCGGTTCTCCAGAACTGGTCAGAACCTGCTGAATACCACTTCTGCTGGGGGCCGGATCTGGCCCACAGGGCGCTTAGATCTGACCCATGGGCCTGCCCTGGAAACAGTGAAGGACCGCAGTGCCTGCAGTGCCTCTGCCAGCAAAAACTGCTTGGGAGGATCCACGGGACGCTGTCCTGAGCTCCGTTTTCCCTGGCAGAGGGTTGCAGGAGGCGTCCCAGCCGAAAACGTGTCAGCCTTCCAGAAAAACCAAACGGTGCGGTGTCGGGGGTTTTAGATTCAATGTGGGAGGGTGAAGGATGTGTGTGTTTAGTTTCATGGTCATGGTCATGATGTGCACTGAAGATGGTGTTTGATTTCGTTGTACCAGGTGCAGTGACAATCAAGTAAAGTAAACGCCAACACCCAAACTCCGAGGCGGGCATTTTCTCAAAGTTCCATTTTATTAGAGTAGTCATAATGGCACATCTGGGAAACCCCAAATCGGAGAGTCCCAGGTTTCCTCACCGTAATTCAAAACACAAACACAAATCCATCCCCTGCACCCATCAGTCCATCCCGCTAATATGGCTTCCAAAGCTGACGAAACGGAGCTCGGGAGCCCGTTTTCAGTGGCAGAACGCTCGGGCCCCCCACAACACAAGTGACGTTGAGCTGGCCACGCCCACCCTGGCCCTCCGAGGTCAAACACCACCCTGATGCGGCCCCCTCAATGAAATTGAGTTTGACACCCCTGATCTATGGGAACCTTTCTGGACTGGGAAGTTAACAGGATCTCTTGGTGAGCATTCCATGGACCATGATCTTCGGAAGCCTTCAGAACCTGGCACTGCAACAGGGAGAACTTGAATTTTGAATTTTAACAATAGATTGCAGCAATTTGATATATATATATTTTCATTTCTGTCTATCTATGAATGGAAGGAACAGGAGATATATTGAACTACATCATGAAACATGTCATGTTAGACCATCCGCCCTGTGGAAGAGAGCCGAAAAGGGAGGCTAATGCATTTCTACTGTTTTTAACTGCAGTCTTTGGAAACTGAACATTCTTCATCATATTTTCTAAAATGTTTTCGAATCTATTCCCTCATCGCCATATATCTATAGACAATAAATACTTGGTCACACATCCATGTTTTAATATTTAAAGTCTTAAAATATGACTTCCTGGCCTAACTGTCGAACAGCAGGTAGTTTAAGCAACTGGAGTCATGTATGGATGACTTAGACTTTAAATTGGTGCTGCACAAAAGAAAACCAAAATAAGCCTAATAATAATAATAACTTGCTGTGTGATAAAAATAACTGAACTCAATCTAAACATCTGGCTGACTGCAGAACCAACACAATTGGTAGATAAAATTGCCAAACCCAGTCTAAACATCTGACTGGTTGGGTGACCAATCATGATTATAATATTAGTAACAATAGTGGTGGTGCCTTGTGCGGCTTTGCTCCGCATTTGGAAGGCTGCCCACTGGGTGGTCGAATGCATCAAGAAAGACACCAATGCAGGTTCTGTCTTGGATGAGCTGCCCCGATCACAAGTTCGGGAAGCTCTTTTATTAAAAACACATAGTGATACGTCATAAGCGGTGAATTCTATCCAATCATTAAGTTACATGAGTAGAAATATTAGTGGACACATAGTTACATCCAATTACAGTGCATAAGGTCAGTTTGAAAGGTACAAAGTAGCCAATTAGCGTTTGCATTTCAGTTATTTGCCCATGATGA